CACCTCTAGGGGAGTTAGCTCTTTTCCACGACATAGCCTGCAAGACATCAAAGAGACCCTACGAGGTGCAGGCCTGGTGGACTGCTGGAGAGCTCTGCACCCGAGCGAAAGGGATTATACCTACTACTCCACAGTCCACAAGCGATACAGCAGACTGGACTATATCCTCATGGCTCAGGAATACCTGTCCCTGCACGTGTCAACTGAGATTAGACCGCTTGGATGGTCTGACCACCACCACTTACTGATGAGTATAGAATCCCCTCTACACCGACCCAGGGAGCGCCACTGGAGGATGAATGAATCAGTCCTAGCGGACACGTTCTTCGAAGAAAATGAGGACCAGGACATGCTGGCCCTGACATTGTGGGAGGCACATAAGTGTGTAGTAAGGAGGCATCTCATCAAAATGTGTACCCAACGTAAGAAGGAACAACGACAGCGTATGGAGGAGCTTACCCGACAGTTCTCAGACCTGGAGGCGGCTCATAAGTCCACACAATCGGACGAAGACTACATGACTCTGCTGGAAGCTCGGAAGACCCTTCGCGATATACTACACCAGAAACTACAACATACTATACAAAAGTCTCACCGATTTTTCTTTGAATATTCAAATAAATGCGGCCGGCTCTTGGCTCGAATGCTTCAGAAGAAGCGACATATGTGCCACATCTCGAAACTTAAAACTAAGGAACAGACGATTACCCAATTCCTGGACAAAATTACCGAATTATTCCAGGAATACTACCACACCCTATACAACCTGTCCACAGAGACCTCCTCTGACTCAATCCACCGCAGAGAACGACGAATTACGGAATACCTACAAAAACACGGTACTAAAACACTGAGCCAAGACACGGCAGAAGAACTAGAGGCTCCCATCTCGATGGAAGAGCTTCAGGTGGCGTTGAAGGGCTCCAAACTCAATAAGGCTCCCAGACGGGCTGCCCATCAAATACATAAAGAAATTCGGAGAGGTACTGCTCCCCAAACTACTAACAGGATTAAACTCCCTCCTGGAAGGGGGAGCATTCGCAAGAGACTCTCTCATGCAGTTCTACCCAAGGAAGGTAAAGACCTGACCAACTGCGCCAGCTATAGACCGATATCGTTACTAAACACTGACCTAAAGCTCTTCACGAAGGTCCTGGCTACCCGTGTTGGTGGTGTTCTCCCGGAACTGGTGGACTCAGATCAACTGGGCTTCATCCCACGAAGGGAAGTGAGAGACAACACCATCCACGCCCTTAATGTCATACACGCTGCCAGGAGTACGGCCCAGAAGCTTATTTTGCTCTCCGCCAATGCAGAAAAACCGTTTGATCGGGTGGACTGGCAATATCTAATGGCAACATTACAGGCAATGGGTTTTGGCCCCCAAATGAGGACCTGGATATCTTCACTATACACGATCCCTACAGCTAGAATACAGGTCAATGGGGCCCTCTCTGCGCCAGTCCACATACATATTGGCACAAGGCAGGGCTGCCCGCTCTCCCCTCTTCTGTTTGCCCTCTCCCAGGAACCATTCCTGGGGGCGGTCAGATGGGACGGGGGAGTAGAGGGATTTGCACTACAGGGAACGATCCACAAGGTGGCTGTAAAATCTAATTTGGAATGGTGTTAATCATAGGCGTGCGCAGCCTATTGCATTAGGGTGTGCACCCTAAAGCACAAGCACACGCCGCATATATATATACATATGTATGTATATATATGTGTATATATATATATATATATATATACATACACATATATACACACATACAAACACTGCTGTGTGTGTGTGCAGTGTGAGGGTGCTGTTAGTGTGATGTGTGTGTGACGGTGCTGGTAGTGTGCTATGTGGGTGAGGGTGTTTGTGTGTGCATGCTTGTGAGGATGCTGTTAATGTACTGTGTGTGAGGGTGCTGTTTGTGTGTGTGTGTGTGCGCTTGTGAGGGTGCTGTTAATGTACTGTGTGTGAGGGTGCTGTTTGTGTGTGAGGGTACTGGTAATGTGCTGTGTGTGTTTGTTAGGGTCCTGTTTGTGTTTGTGAGGGTACTGTTAGTGTGCTGTGTGTGTGTGAGGGTGCTGTTTGTGTGCTGTGTGTGAGGGTGCTGTGTGTGTGCTGTGTGTGAGGGTGCTGTGTGTGTTTGTGATGTGTGTGTGGTGTGCTGTATGTGTGTTGGTGCTGTGTATGTCTGTGGGTGCTGTATGTGTGTGTGTGCTGTGTATGTCTGTGGGTGCTGTGTATGTGCTGTATGTGTGTGCTGTGTATGTGTGTGGGTGTGTGGGTGCTGTGTGCTGTGTATGTCTGTGGGTGCTGTATATGTCTGTGGGTGTATGTGTGTGGGTGCTGAATGTGTGTGGGTGCTGAATGTGTGTGGGTGCTGTGTATGTCTGTGGGTGCTGTGTAATGTGTGTGGGTGCTGTATGTCTGTGGGTGCTGTGGGTGTGTGTATGTCTGTGTATGTCTGTATGTCTGTGGGTGCTGAATGTATGTGGGTGCTGAGTATGCTGTGTATGTCTGTGGGTGGGTGCTGTGTATGTCTGTGGGTGCTGTGTATGGGTGCTGTATGTGTGTGGGTGCTGTATGTGTCTGTGGGTGCTGATGTATGTGTGTGTGTGCTGTGTATGTCTGTGTGTGCTGTATGTGTGTGTAGGTGCTGTATGTGTGTGTGCTGTATGTGGGTGGGTGATTGTGGGTGTGGAGGTGGGGGTACATTAATTGCTATCCCCCCTCCCTTCTTACCTTTTGTAGGGAGGGGGGATCGTGCTGCTGCTTTCCCTGGTGGTCCAGTGGAGAGTTCACTCTCGCGAGATT